AATATTTTAAAACTTGCCAAATTTGGTACGGCAATAATTGTTTCGATTACGGTACATAAGTTGACTATGATTACTCGGCCGTGCAATGCCACTAATATTTGACTTACAAACAAAATACGGGCAGGAATTTCAAAACTTCAACCCTGTTTGTGTGAAATATTTTGTTTTTATCAGTATTTTCCCTTTAATCAATCTATGTTGAAATAACAGTTAAAATAAGAAAATATTTTGTCAGAACCCCCGAAAAAAAATCCTGGCTACGGCCCCGATGGCAACCGTTTGCATTTTATTGCAGTGAATTTACAAAAGCACCGAATATGCTATTGCAAGAGCATGTGCACAAGATCCTGAACAGCCCCATTAATTGGAAAAATCCGGGACATACATACATACAAGTGAAATTAATTTTTGCCCAAAATAATTTTGAATCCAGAATTTTACTTTCCAGAATTTTAATTCTATATCACTTGGTTCTTATGTAAGGTGACCAGAATTTTTTAAAATTCCAGGACAAATTCTCGACATTGAAAACACAAAAATTTATTTATTTTTTTAAACAATAAATAACGAATAAATTAACAATTCAAAGCTGCTCTAAACACAAGTCAGGCAAGTTAATAGTACACTGCGTCGCATAATTATAGTACCGCCATATATTAACAAGTTTTGACTATTTATTTTTAAATTATTTAATTTTCATTGTATTACTTGCAAAAGTAATTAATTGCTTTTGTTCTTCAAAGTCTTCGTCAAAGTTCGACTATAATTTTGTATCAATGCTATACCTCGTTCAGCAATATCATTATCATATTTAATACTCTTAATCCTCAAGTAGCACACTGGTGTATAAATTGGTGTAAATTTATGGATTTTGGTACAAATCTGATTAGATTGAATAAAAAAAGAACGTTTTGGTGTGTTTGTTATTCCACCAGTATTTCTTTCAAATAAAAATTCTACCTTTAACATTTTGGTACTATTTATTCATTGAGATTAGTACGAAAACTACACCAGCTCCTAAAATGCGCCACTTCTTTCATTTGGTTCACAAATAGCTCCACGTTAACAAATGTAATTAAATTTATTCAGGCGACATTCTGAGTAGTGATGTGCTGAATTCTCGGTACCCAATACTTGAAAAAAATTTCGGTACCCAATACTTCCTTTTCGGTACCCGATACCGATTCGACACACTAAGCTTTCGTCATTATATCTGTGCCATTCAATTCAAGTAGCTTAATTCACTTTAGATGGTTTGACTTTGAATTAAAAAAAAAAATCAGTTTCTTTTGAAATTGTTTTATATTTTAATTAAGATTCTATTATAGGGGCATCTTGAAATACATCTTTGGCTAGTTAAACGTTGAAATATTGTTTGGGAATCCAATGAAATGTGGCTTTAAAGGGAAAAGGACCTATCTCGACATAGGCTACTTTTGGGGGTAAAAATTATTGATATTTTATAAGACATCGCCTAAAAACCCAAAATGTACAAATAAGACGGTCCTTTCTCAAGAGATGAGCAATGTGTTTGTATGTATGTAGTTAAATGTGTGCGTCGAACAAGGCAGGCAATTAAATCTGCACAATAATGATCAAGGCGAATTTAATAAGGTGGTGTTAGCCGTATATAAGTAAAAAATTACACTTACAAATTATACGCAGATATTCATACTGTCATTAGTATGAACTACAACAAACACGTAATTTTGATGTAATGTCCTCCACGGCGAAAAATTCAGATACGTCGGTTACACCACCTTATTAAATTCACCCTGATACTGATGTCGCAAAACACACTCTCGCCTTCTTTTACTTATCGCAACCGTCTTTCCAATTGCAATAGTTCTGGTGGCAATATTATTTATTTTTAATAGCTGACATTATATGTATGTGTACATATAACTCAGATTTTTGGCTGTTGCGCGCTCTTATTAGAAATTCCAAGATTTCGGTACCGAGCATCGAAAGTATTTGATACTTTTTAAATCGGTACCGAGTATCGATCAATACTTAAAAGTAGCGACTCAGCACATCACAAATTCTGAGAGCAATTGACAGTGGACCAAAGAATTCACCAAAAAATGAATATTGAATACACCACACAGTAGCTTTGTTTCTTTACAGATAGGCGCATTTACACAAGGTAGTGTTAGCCGAATATAAGTAAAAAATTACAAAAGCAAATTACAAGAAACACATAATTTTCACGTTATGCGGTGAAAAATTCAGCTGTTGCTCCAACATTAGACAGATTAGGCACAGCTACTTTGATTTGCTTCTTTTACATATTTTTGTATTTTTTGATAAAAATGGGCGATTTATTTAATTTGATAAAGTGTGGCAAAACCTGAGTATTTGTGAACAATTTTTAAACATAAAATGCGATTAAAAATTCGCAGCAAATACATATGTTCAGTTGTCAATAGCATCGGTCAGGTGTTTACTAGCTAGTTTCTGCTAGTTTGCGTTTCTTGACTTTTTCTATATTTCACTCGCTGTGAGCGTAATTCTGTAATTCTTCCCATTCTTCTTCCTGATAATGATCTGCTAGGAAAGTAAAGAAACAAAGCTAGTGTGTGTGTACATAATACACTGCCTGTTTTAATATGAGCTTATTATACATACCACAAGTAGAGCTGCTATCGGTGTTGCCGTTTTGATAAATTGGTGGTTTCATTCACATCATTCAGGGCTATTCTGGTTTTAGTAGGAGAAGAGATGTTTAATTTATTATATAAATATGTACATATGTATGTATATTTATTTATTTGGGCTTTAAGTATGAGAAAAAGCTTTATTTAACAAACTGCATAATTTTTATTTGCTTGCACAGCGATAAACATCAAAGACTGTGTAAATGTTGGTAAGAAGCGATTTTTATGTATTCTCGCTACGCTAATACGTTAGGTTGTAAACTTAGCCTAATACTGAAACTCTGCTGGACGCCATATTAAAGCTGTATGACTATTATTTAACTAATTTAAGAATTTCATTATGTACATTGGCTCAACTATGCCACTTTCCAACCTTTTTTAAACAGCGCATCTCTTAAAAATTTAATAATGGCGAAAAAATCATTGCTTTCAAAATATAAGTTTTTCCAGATTTATTTAAAAATTTTCAAATCCTTATAAATTTTGAGGCGCTCGAGTTTTAGAGGGGATAGTACCGAAATTCACTCGACAGAATGTACCTCGTTTTTAAATTAGGAACTCACAATCATATATATTCGCGATTTTCTTGCCTGCATATTACGAAAAGGAATGCTGAGATTTATAAAAAGAATTCCAAGTCGCGCAGATTAAAACAGAGCTTCGGTGTAAATTTTATGTCTGAGTTAATTTTAAATTTGATTAGTAGTAAATTTTATTCCCCGAATCCTTTTGCACTCTTCACACTCATGAAAATATATTTATGCTAGAATATGATGTAAATTCTTTACCATTATGGCGTATGATTTGAGCCAATACCTATACGTATTTTACACCAACGGAGTTTATATTATGTTCTAGAAGCAAGAAAACATGTACACCACTGGCATAATATATATGCCGAAAATCAGTAAAAAAAAATTGACGGTAGGTGTAAATAATGCCCGAAAAAGCGGTATAACCTTTACACTGAATCGAAATAAACTGTTCAAAAACTGCCCTTAGAAATGGCATATTTTTTATATTGAAAATGTATATCACGCCGATGAAAAAAATACACAAAATATTTTGGTGTATTTTTGACTTTTGTGCTACTTGAGTCGTCCCTAAGACAACCAACTTCAGGGGCATTTTTTAGAGAATTAATGCCCTACAAGAATATGCACAGGAAAAACTTGTATCACTCTTATATAACTTTCTTAATGGTTCAAGATTTATAACATTTTTAATAAAAACAAATTTTTTTACATGTTATTTACATAGAAAATTTCAAATGGTCACCGACACCTTTTAAAATTTAAATAAAAATGTTTCCAAATGGGAGAGTTTCCTTCTCAGTAAATAGGTCATTTTAAGGCCATAAATTCGCTAGGTTAGTTATTTTGGATCGTCCTAATAAATATATGTATATATATATGCACAAGAATTACTCGTTTAAAGTAATAAGTATAAGTGGAAAAATTTCTCGGAAAGCCCGCCTCCTCCCCAAAAAAATTCTGCATCCGCCGCTGGGCCTGTGTTATTTTTGATTATGCACTTGGCCGTGAAATAACATTTTCTAAAACTCAACAATTTTTATTGAGCTTGAGGCCGTTTTTAATGTGAAACTATTGTGGAAAAGCAACAGTAATTAAAAAAATGGTAGAAGTGATAGCTATTTCGGAAATCACCACATTTCCTCATCAGACTTCTTTAGCGGGAACCGATCCGACGACCCCAGCTGACTCAGCCAGTTGCCTACGCACTGTGCTAAGTTCACCTTAATTCTTGTTGCAGAATATAGTTGTTATAAGGCCATAAATAACAAAAATTGTTTAAGCATATATGCGCTCCAATGCAATGAATATACCGGTTGTAAGCTATCTTACAAATGCTTTTATCAAGATTAAAAATCCCTGCACACAAATATTACCACCAGGGGCGCACTCAGGAATATATATTGGAGTGGAGTTATACTTTTGAAGATATATTACCTGAAAATATTGAAAATTCGCTTCAGATAATATGCTCTTTAAAACACATTTCTGCAAGTTTTATGTACAGTTTGAAATAAATAACTAAACTTTTTAAAGTTTCATAAATTGCACTTTATTCACATAAAATTAACAAAGAACTCAAATATTTTTAACCAACTTCAAAAAGGGGAGGGGGAGGTCATCAATTCTTCGTAATATATTGAGGAGGACAAATCACTTTTGAGGAGGACAATCCTCCTCAAAGGAGGACGGTTTGCCAGCTTATTCGTATGTTATGTTTTAATTTTTTTCCAGAATTTTCAACCGAATACTGCTGTGTACGTTATTGATCTTTTAAACATTTATAGGTACACATTGTGTATATACTTACTACTGGGTATATGATCCTGGTGCTGAATTTGAGCGCCCAGGCCGCGTAAAGTGGCCCAAACGATCAATACCACAGGGTTTTGATTGTGCTAAACCTTCGCTTCCGTACGGATTTCCAAATGAATGTTTTTTAAGCATTGTTTTTATTAAAATGAGAGTGTCTAATTTCGGAATACTCTGCACGACAGAATTCATGTCTTCTGCACTAACTTTCAGCAAGCAACAATTCTCACTCTCATTGGGAAGGGAGTATCTTCCTTCTTTGGTTACCCAAGTATGTTCCTAAATTAATATTAAAACACATTAATGGCTGGTGCTATGATCTCTAGAATCATACAAACCTTTAACTGCTGCAATGTAATCCTGAAGGAAGGATTTTTGTTCAGTATATTAAAAATACAGTCTTTTAGCTGTTCACTAATTCTTGGAGAGTCTTTAAGAGCCAGCGGATCAGCTTTTATCTTTTCATACAGAATTGGAATCGAGTTTGCAATAAATGGTACGTTTCCATAAACAAGTGCATAAAGCGTTATTCCCAAAGACCATATATCGGCAGCTTTCCCGCAATATACATACTAAAACGATAAAAAATATGGATAAATGAGCTACAAATGTGAAAATATATAATACAAAATAAAGTTGTTAAATATCATTCAGTAGAGTCAAATTAGGGTGAAAAATTGTTAAAGTGACGATCAGTTGCGGGGATTGTAATATTTGATTTACAGGAATCAGACGGTTGTGGATTCGTCGTAATTATACTTGGTAGTTAAACCGCAAGAAGATAATGTTCCATTTCATTACAAGTTTTTTGTTCGGAAGTTCATACACTGTGGGAAAAAATATTAAATTCAATCAGAAACGTAATTGATCTTACTATAAACGTCAACGAAAGTACTGTATATTGGCAAATATTCAATTCAATTACGCGCATATTAAAATGACCGCGTTCGTTCTGAAAAAGCATACTTGGAGTGTATAATCAAGATAAAAACCAAAAAATATATATATATATTTAACTAGCTTATACCCGCAGGTTTCACCCCGCGCTTTTATACAAATATGAAAAATAATTTAATGATGTTAGATTTTATTTCTGTGCCCATTTCGTTATAGCTCGTTATTTTTTATGCGAGTTAAGGTATTTAGGCCGTCTAACACTATGAAATTATCAAATCTCGTCTGCGCGCTAGGCATACGAAAGATATCAATCCCTCTAAGTTTACCTTAAAATGGTTCCAGGTATAGGACGCGTGAACGTGTAACCTTCTTGGAGGTGCCACGTCGGGTTTTAATATTTCAAACTGAAATTTAGTAACCTGGCCTTGATAAAATACCATTTCTCATTACTGTAGCAAATGCCTCAAGAGAACTTTAGATTATAAGGCCGAACCCGGCTTCACTTTTCCATTTAATGAAATTTATTCTGTCACTACGGCACTTATAAAATAAATCTCCATAACAAATTTAAAATACTTCGAGAGATTTTCTATCCTTCCAGAGATGTGTATTAAGAAGTTTTTAGTATGTATGGGAGGCGACATGCCTCCTTTTTTAATAACTCACATTTTTTCCATGAGCAATTGATACATTTTGCATACACAACTCCATACCAAGTTCCAGTATTCTTCCACAAAAACTTCCAGGGATATGTGGCAAGAAAACGTAAATTTTTACTGGAAGTGCCACGCCCATTTTTCTTATAACCCTAATCTTCTTCCATGAATTTAGAATTGATTTTACATACCCCAGTACCAAGTCCCAGTACTCTACCTTGAACACCTTTAGAGATAAGCAGTATAAAACAGTAAATTTGTACGGGAGGAACCATGTCCCCTTTTCGAATAACGCAAATT